TTTGGAACGTCATATCTTCCCGGGAGTTATGTCGTTTCGGAACGTCATATCTCCCCGGGAGTTATGTCGTTTCGGAACGTCATATCTCCCCGCGGAGTTATGTCGTTTCGGAACGTCATAGCTCCGCGCGGAGTTATGTCGTTTTGGAACGTCATATCTCCGCGCGGAGTTATGTCGCTTTGGAACGTCATATCTCCTCGCGGAATTATGTCGCTTTGGAACGTCATATCTCCCCGCGGAATTATGTCGTTTTGGAACGTCATATCTCCCCACGGAATTATGTCGTTTTGGAACGTCATATCTCCGCGCGGAGTTATGTCGCTTTGGAACGTCATATCTCCGCGCGGAATTATGTCGTTTTGGAACGTCATATCTTCCCGGGAGTTATGTCGTTTCGGAACGTCATATCTCCCCGGGAGTTATGTCGTTTTGGAACGTCATATCTCCCCGGGAGTTATGTCGTTTTGGAACGTCATATCTCCGCGCGGAGCTATTACCCGAGATATTAAAAAATATAATCGAAAAAGTTTCGATTTTCGCACCGACCTCGATTTTAAAAAAATCGTGATGATTTGGAAGGTCATATCTCCTCGTGGAGTTATGTCGTTTTGGAACGTCATATCTAACCGCGGATTATTTCGTTTTGGAACGTCATATCTCCCCGCGGAGTTATGTCGTTTCGGAACGTCATAGCTCCGCGCGGAATTATGTCGTTTTGGAACGTCATGTCTCCGCGCGGAGTTATGTCGTTTTGGAACGTCATATCTCCGCGCGGAGTTATGTCGCTTTGGAACGTCATATCTCCTCGCGGAATTATGTCGCTTTGGAACGTCATATCTCCCCGCGGAATTATGTCGTTTTGGAACGTCATATCTCCCCACGGAATTATGTCGTTTTGGAACGTCATATCTCCGCGCGGAGTTATGTCGCTTTGGAACGTCATATCTCCGCGCGGAATTATGTCGTTTTGGAACGTCATATCTTCCCGGGAGTTATGTCGTTTCGGAACGTCATATCTCCCCGGGAGTTATGTCGTTTTGGAACGTCATATCTCCCCGGGAGTTATGTCGTTTTGGAACGTCATATCTCCGCGCGGAGCTATTACCCGAGATATTAAAAAATATAATCGAAAAAGTTTCGATTTTCGCACCGACCTCGATTTTAAAAAAATCGTGATGATTTGGAAGGTCATATCTCCTCGCGGAGTTATGTCGCTTTGGAACGTCATATCTCCGCGCGGAGTTATGTCGCTTTGGAACGTCATATCTCCGCGCGGAATTATGTCGTTCTGGAACGTCATATCTTCCCGGGAGTTATGTCGTTTCGGAACGTCATATCTCCCCGGGAGTTATGTCGTTTCGGAACGTCATATCTCCCCGCGGAGTTATGTCGTTTCGGAACGTCATAGCTCCGCGCGGAGTTATGTCGTTTCGGAACGTCATAGCTCCGCGCGGAGTTATGTCCTTTTGGAACGTCATATCTCCGCGCGGAGTTATGTCGCTTTGGAACGTCATATCTCCTCGCGGAATTATGTCGTTTTGGAACGTCATATCTCCCCGGGAGCTATGTCGTTTTGGAACGTCATATCTCCCCGGGAGCTATGTCGTTTCGGAACGTCATATCTCCCCGTGGAGTTATGTGGTTTTGGAACGTCATATCTCCCCGCGGTGTTATGTCGTTTTGAAACGTCATATCTCCCCGCGGAGTTATTACCCGAGGTATTAACAATTGCGCAGTTGCATATAAGTTTGGTTTTATTTAACCGATCTTGATGAAATTTTCTACAGTATATCTTATTGTATCATAGAATATTGGTGTATACTGAAAAGTCAATTGCATTTAAATTTTGGCTTGATTTATAGCTCTATAAAATTAAAGATACTTGACAAATATATAATATTTTAGAAGCAACATATCATGTTTCGTGACTCTAGCTATTATTATTTACCAAAATTGCCCAAAAAACAGGATATCGATATCGATAGCTTGGAAACGGAGTAAGCTATCGATTATAGCACCTACATCTATTTCAAGTTCCTTGCGTTCATACATACGGTCGGACGGACGGACGGTCGGACAGACAGACGGACATGGCTAGATCGACTCGGCTATTGATGCTGATCAAGAATATATATACTTAATGTGGTCGGAGATGCTTCCTTCTGCCTGTTACATACATTTGGATTTTGCACAAATACAATATACCCTTATACCCATTTTTAATGGGTTCAGGGTATAATAATTAATTATAAAAAAATCAAGTCCAGTTGTCAAGATCTATTGCGAGCTGTTATATTACATGAAAACAGTTATCTAGCAAATTCGGTTTCAGATTTATGCAAATTATGTTGAAAAATGACTCAGAATCGTTTTACAACGGGTTTCAATAAACGACATCAGTTATGTGAAAGTAGTTAGTGGAAAGACCAAATGTGTTAAGCGGATTTTTCGCGCTACAGAATTTACTTTCTAGCCTGGATTTCCAATTCAGTTGTGGTCTTAGCAAGACACCCGCTCCTAGCTCAACCAGAGCAATTTCAGAAGACGAAAATGAAGAAGAATAAGCAGGAGAGAAAGAAGCAGGGCATTGGCCAAACAACCAATTCTGTCAACAACTTTCTCATGCTATAGCCGTCAGAGCTTATTGTCTCTGGTTATGGCCAAAGAATTACACGAGCGACCGTTACCATGGTCCAGACCAGAGACCAGCTCAGACTACTTAGCGTTTTCATATTATTTATGGCTAATAGCCTGAGGGGCGGTTGAGTGCAGGGGGCGCTGCAATTACAGCTAAAAGAAATCAATGCTGGAGCTCAATGAGAAATTGCAGGCCTGCTCCAATTATTTTTCATGTACGCTGCGCGAGAGTCCGACAATGTTTTGAACACAATTTAATTGAGGAAGATTCAGAACAGGCGCAGCGCGTCTCATTCTTCGATAGACACATGCGGCAGCTTGTTGCCACCGTTGCAGTGACACCGTCTAAACCTGGCTGTGCCCAATTCCAATGCCAATTCCAGCAGAATGTAGCCAGATCTGGTCTTGGCTTTCCTCGCTGTGGAGGCTGCAACTGCAACTACAACTGCGACTGCGACTGCGACTGCGACTGCGACAGCGACAGCGACTGCAGATGCAACTGCTGCCACTGAGTTGATAAAATGCATGTTGCACGTCGATCGTGCCACATTCTGTGGCTGGCCAGCGCGTGGTGTGTACACAGTTTTCGTTAAGAGCAAGTGACATGCGCCAAAGATGAGCCGCTTTCTGAATCTCCTAATGTTTTGTGCGCTGTGCGCCAGCTTTGCCAGTAGCCAGGACACCAGCGAGGCAAACGGCCCCATTCCAGAGGAGGCTGCCACGGAGGCAGCACGCGGCCTGGCCAGCAGCTATGAGCCGGAGGATAGGCAGGCGTTAAAGAAGAACTCGCACATTTATATGGGCATCTATAAGAACTACAAGAGCACCTATCTGGGCAACAAGACGACGAGTGAGTACAGAAAGCGACTGCGGGAACGCGTGAGTGCGGCACAGTTGGCCAACAATGAGGCGGAGGCTGCCACAGAGGCAGTCGAGTACCAGGAGCTGGAGCAGCAGCAACAGCAGCAGCTGGAAATTGATGATGCACTCGCACAGGAGCTGCGCAACGAGGCCAATGCGGAGGCGTTGCTGGAGGCACAGACCGAAACACCCATCTATGATGATAATGAGACGGCGGGCGGCAAGAAGAGGCGCAAGCGCAAACGCAAGAACCGCAATAATAGCAACAACAACAACAACAATAACAGCAACAACAACAACGATAACAGCAACAAGAGGCTGGAAGAGCAGCTGCCCGAAGCAGAGCCCAGTTTGGCTGAGGATGCCACATTTGATAACGTGCAGCATTACCATGTGGGACCCGGTCTCAATGTTAGCCTGGACATGAGCAATCACATAGTGCGCGTCAAACTGGATGGTGAGAACCTCAGGGAGATCATCGGCGCTCGTTGGCTGACCACGGACAACAGCGAGGAGGGTGAGTCCGCAAGAGATTTTTGCATAATAACAGCCATGTTGAACAGTTGCATTTGAATCGTAGGTCGGGGCAAAAAATACGATATGATCACCAAGGTGCTGCCGCTGTTCATATTGCCGTTTCTCATCCAGTCGGCGATTGTGCCGTTTTTGGTTACCAAGCTGAAGCTGCTGCTGGTCAAGTCCATATTGGTGGGCAAACTGGCTATATTCTTGCTCATCCTGTCGGCCATCAAGAACAGCAACAAAATGATGCAATCGTATGAGGTGGCGCCCTCGTATTGGGCCAGCGAGCCAAGCCGAAGGTCCGAGCTGGCGGCAGCTGCCTCATCCGCAGCTGCGGCCTACAATGGCTACCGGGTGGAGGGCAAACCCACCACCTGGGTCAATTAGCGAGAGGGAGACAGAGACACAGAGAGAGAGAGAGAGAGAGAGAGAGAGAGAGAGAGAGAGTTTAGACAGCTAGTTAAAAAAACAAACATACAAATTGCAATAAGTTTCGCATTAAGTTACAAAATATATGAAAATAAATAAAAACAAATCGGGTGTCTCGTTGTGTTTTTAATTAGGTATTCAAAAATAATAGATATTAGATATTAATAAATTAAAATAAGTGAGAAAGATTTCTTATATGAGAGCTGGATGATGAAATTATATATGTATATATATAATTTTCTTTTCTTTCTATGGAGTCAAATGAAGAATTTTTAAAAATGAACTATTTTCAAAAGATATTTTCTGCCGAACCTACGTACCTAACCTACGCACCGAACCTATGTATATATTCTTTTTAAAGGCTTTGAGGTTGGGTTGGTGTTCGTTCTCGAAGCGCTTGCATGGCCTATGTCTGATTAGATACTATTCAAGTCAAGGGCATACGGCATACGGATTATCGCATGACGTCAAGTTTGGGACTTTACACATGTGCAAATAAATGCAGTCGGTGTCAAGAGTTGCCTCAATGATTTATGCACAAATACAAAATATCGATTTACAGTTACGTATTTATTTTTGTTTGTCTATTGTTGTTGTCAAGGTAATAAATTAGAGCTGGGTACAAATAAATTAACTTAAGTCTAGGCAACTAATTAAAGCTATAGTTGTTGTAGCTGTTGGTGTTGCTGTTGTTGTGGCTGTTGCGTGGCTCAACCAGCGCCCCAAATTGACATTTCTCTCAGTCTCGCACTCTCTCCCACTCTCTCTCTCTCTCTCTCTGTATGATTAGTAGCAGCTATATTGTCGCTCTAGCTGGACGCAAACATCGCACTGCAAACGGAATCCCCAGACCAGCTTGCAGTTGCATCGCCGCTCGCTGCGCACATGCTGGGAACGCACACGGAATCCACAGACCCGGCACAGTTGTTGGCAGGAGAGACGCTCATCGGCGCTGCTGGCCGTATGCTTGGCGCACTGGCGGCCACGTGTGCCCGCCCAGCGTCCGCTGGCCTCGGGCTGGCAATAGTTGGGCGAGTCGAGCATGTAGACGAGCGAGTCCAGCGGTATGTTCTGCCACATGATCTTCAGATTCCTTGTGGTCGTGTCCAGCTGTATGGCATCATCGTACATGTTCAGCAGATCCTGTGCCACAGACTCGAAGGGTTTGAGCACCTGCACGCACTGCTCCTCGAGGCAGCTGCCCTGTGCGTTGTGCCGCTTGCAGTGGCACTCCTGCTCCAACGAACGCTCCAACAGGGCGCCAACCACGCGCTGATTGTGCGCTGGAGCACCAGCACCAATGCCATAGCGCTGCTCATAGAGCTGCATCGCCTTGGCCGGCTCATGGGCGCAGGGCACGTTCAGGGCATTGTCGCTGCAACCGCAGCCGGCGATGACACCATTGGCACAGTCCTTGGTTAGCGTATGCAATATGGCGGCCATGGATATGGCGGCCACATAGACATCCTCACGATCCAGCTCCTGGGCGCCACTCGGGGCCGTGCGTCGCCTTATAAAGTCATTGCTGGGGCAATTCCAGCGCTGCCATTTGAAGCTCTGCTGACAATTGCTGATGGCCTGGTCCAAGCTGCTGCTGCTGATGGCTTCCCAGGAGAGCGGCGCCTGGAATTGTGTATACTGATAGTAATTCATCGGCTCCACCAAGCTGGCCGACGAAGCGCTACTGGCAAAGCTCAGGAAAATTTGTATGATATAAAACATAATGTCGTTGGATGTGTGTGTCGTGTGTGTGATCTCTGTGATGTCGTTGGGTCGACTGTGGGCTGTCAGGAGCCCGGGCCTAGTTTTTATACCAAGTCACAAGTTTGGGCCGTGGGAAATACGAGGCGACAGCGAAAAACCGGAAATTTGCCTTTTGTCCACTTGGGACTTTTTCATGAACAGAAGAAACTCCCAGCGCCTTACAAATAACCCAACAGATCCTGGCCCGACGCAATTGCGGAGCAGCCCAGTTTTGTTTCCCTCTACCTGCCCGGCGTCCATCCTGCGGCGTCGATCCTCGTCGCCAGCAACTTTCCCACGCTTAGGCAGGTAGATGTCCTGCAGCGCATGTACATGTTCATGAATGAAACTCAATCGAATCCATTCACTTTCGTGGATTTTCCCAACTGCTCAATATCAATGCTCGGCGTGCGGCGTGCATTTTCAGCCGTACTCCGGGCTGAGGTCCTGTGTTTTGCCAACTCGGCTGGCAAAGCCAATTATCTAACAAAACATATGACAAATAAAAGAATATGGAAAATTAATTGCGCTTTGCGGTAAGCTGTTTGTGAATCCCTCGACCAGGCTCTAGCCTGCCAGCCAGAATTGCCCATGCTCGCCCATTATATTGGTATTTCCGGACAACAGTAAATGCCACGATTTGGCCTAAACGGCATGAGTCAGTCGCATAAGGCAAAGTTCAATTACAAGCCAATATCATAAATTAACAAGTTTTATGATATTCTTTCTAATATGTATCTACAGACATACAGATACCCTGTACCCATTGAAATGGGTTTGCCTAAACTTGTGAATATAGAATTTGGATCCTTAAGATCCTTTAAGAATACATATATTTAATCTAAAAACGAAAGAATGTTAGCGATCTGGTAACACTCTGTCGGACAGACTGGACTACTGTTATTTAGATATATATTGGATTAAACCAAAATTATTAATACACATTGGAATGTTATCTATAAGTGCTGAACATTTAATTACATTTTCTAGAAAAACACTAAAGTTGTGAAAGAATATATTTTAACTTAAAATTGACATAGGTTGCCGGTCTGGCAACTCTTCGATAGCTGTTTAATTAAACTAAAAATATTTAAATATACATTTGAATGTGTTCTTAATATATATGTAATAACAAAAACGAATAAACACATAAGATCTGGCAGCTCTGTCCGACACATACTCGACTCTCTCCTAGTGGCTAGATTACCATTTGATTAAACTATAAATGTGCTTGTAATAGTGATAACGGCTTAGCTCAGTCACAACCCATATCTAATCCTAATTTATAGCCAAATTTCCAAATTCCATGGACAAGCGACAATATTATCGGCATAGATTAATGGATGTACATAAATGCGCATGTTCCCGTAAATCTTGCCACACTTTTTTTTCCTATGATAAGGGAAATAATATTACATATTGCCAGGCATTTGAAAAACATGCGCGGAAATTTCGTGTTTTGGGTTTTAACACAATGAAAATACCAAAAGTCTCTAATTAGGCCGAGAATCCCGCGTTGCCGTAGGCACCGGAAAAGGGTTTTTTAAATACCTAAGGCGCCGGGGTAATACACAAAACCAAAGCCGGGCGAGCTGCTCGCAATCGATCAGGTAGTCAATTTGGGTAAAAACTTTGGTCAATTGGTCTTAACACAAATATATGATATATATGTATATATGTACACACATGTGGGCGCCGGCGCTAGGGAAAGTTAGGAAGCTGGCGCCGGGAGTTTCTGCAATAATTTTTCAAAAGATTGGGAATTCGTGTTGCGCAGGAAAAACGCGCAGATTTTTGGCTTTCTAATCGAATCCGCTAATGCGGACAGAATGGATTGGCCCGTAAATATGTATATATATAAAATACACTAACTTATGGCCGCATCGCAGCAATTGCTCTTGACGTGTATGAGTGCCGGGTTCGACTTGCGATTGCGATTAGATTAGCAATCAGTCCATGACGGTATCACTCAGCGTCCAATTAAGATATAGCGTGACGGCCCGTGGGCTACCTATCATTGTGCGTCCCTGCTGGGTCCCTGCTTAGTTGCGATTCAGATGTCGCCGGTTTTGGATTGAGGCCGCAAACGAATATGATTATTACCGCTAAATTGGTTAGCATTTTTCTGGGCGTCGCGCTGACGGCGTTTACCGTGTCCACAATTGTGCTGGCCGTGCAGAAGGCGAACTTGCTAGCCGATTTGCGCGACGCACAGGATAAGCTCGATCAGCTCGAGGCGGGCCTGGTGTCCAGCACGGCGGCGCCATCGAGCACCAGTGCAGGCCCAACTCCGGAGCCGGGCACAACTGCGGCGCCGGAACAGATTGACTATCGGCTGCCCAGCGCCTTGATACCCAACAATTATGATCTCTATTTGTATCCAAACATTGATACGGGCACTTTTACTGGCGAGGAGACAATCAACATAACCGTCAACGAGGCCACGGACCAGATAATACTGCATTCACTATATCTGGAGATCAATGGAGTGCATGTCTTCCAATCGGATGAGGCCACCATTTTGGTCACAGATCACACATTTGATACCGTTCGGGAATTCCTCATCATCAATTTGAATACGAAACTGACCGCGGGCGCCTTTGTGCTGCTCAATATCGAATTCTCCGGTAATATGGCCAACAAAATTGTTGGTCTGTACAGCTCCTCGTATGTGAAGGCCGATGAGAGCCGCAAATGGATAGCCACCTCTAAGTTTGAGCCAACATACGCTCGTCAGGCGTTCCCCTGCTTCGATGAGCCTGCTCTGAAGGCCACCTTTGAGATCACTTTGGTGCACCCGACGGGCGACAACTATCATGCACTCTCCAACATGAACCAGGAATCGGAGCTGGACAAGGGCACCTACACGGAGGTCAGGTTCGCAAAGAGCGTGCCCATGAGCACATATCTGGCGTGCTTCATTGTCTCCGACTTTGACTCCAAAACGGTGCAGATTGATACCAAGGGCATTGGCGAGGCCTTCGACATGGGGGTCTATGCCACGCCCGAGCAGCTCGACAAGGTTGACTTTGCGCTAACAGTGGGCAAGGGCGTCATCGAGTACTATATTGATTACTTCCATATTGAGTATCCGCTGCCCAAGCTGGATATGGCTGCCATACCCGACTTCGTGTCCGGTGCCATGGAACACTGGGGTCTGGTCACATATCGGGAGACATCGCTCCTCTATGAGGAGGCCACCAGCTCAACTGTGAATAAGCAGCGCATCGCCAGCGTGATAGCACACGAGTTTGCGCACATGTGGTTCGGCAACTTAGGTATGTCCCTTCCACTGATAAGTAGGATTAACCCAACTGATATACATATATATATTTTTTTCGATTTTTCCTGCTATCAGTTACTATGCATTGGTGGAATGATTTATGGCTAAACGAGGGCTTTGCTAGCTTCATTGAGTATCTCGGCGTGGATGCCGTCTTCCCCGAATGGCAAATGGTAAGTCAATCGATAAAGTCGAGCCATAAATTTATACTATATCAACATATAGTTTCTATATTATTATTTTATTTATTATACTCTGAACCCATTGAAAATGGGTAAAAAGATTATAGCGGTGCAAAGGTTACAGGCTAAGACAGCATCCTCAGCCCATATATATATTCTTGATCAGCATCAATAGTCGAGTTTATCTTGCCATGTCCGTCTGTCTGTTCGTCCGTATGTATGAACGCTAGGATGTCAGAACATATAAGAGCTATAGACAAATTTTAGATGTAGATGCTCCTAGTGCCTGCGCAGATCGAGTTTGTTTCCGATAATCGATAACTTACTCCGTTTCCAAGCAATCGATAAAAATCGATATCGATATCCCGTTTTTTGGACAATTTTTGTAAATAATATGAACTAGACTCCCTAAAGTTGACATATAGCTTCTAAAATAGAATATATATATGCATTTGATGTTGGAATAAGAGAGTTCAAGGTATTCCCTAGTCGGGAGCTCTCGACTAGAACCTCTTGTTTTAAAATTATTTTTATTTTATAAAATATTATTTTTTTTTTTAAATAAATACAATTTGATTTAAAAATATTTTTATTTTATTTTACAGCGAGATCAGTTTATCGTCAGCACTTTGCATTCAGTGTTTACGCTGGATGGTACTCTGGGCTCGCATCCCATCATTCAGAAGGTTGAGAATCCCGATCAGATAACGGAAATCTTTGACACCATTACGTATTCCAAGGGCTCCTCTCTGGTGCGCATGTTGGAAGACTTTTTGGGCGAGACAATCTTTCGCACAGCGGTTACCAATTATCTAAATGAATACAAATACGAGAACGCCGTTACAGACAACTTCTTTGCGGAGATTGATAAATTGGGTCTGGAGTACAATGTGTCGGATATAATGCTTACTTGGACAGTGCAGGTGAAGAAGATCGCTTTGTGCAGCATGCCCGCCAGATTTGCATAGACATTTAACCCAATTCGTTGTAGATGGGTCTGCCGGCGGTCACGATCACCAAGGTCTCGGACACTGAATACAAATTAACGCAGAAGCGTTTCTTGGCCAATCCGAATGACTATGATGCAGTGCACGAGCACTCGGAATTTGAGTAGGTTTCCCAGTTGTTTATTGCCTTATCTTTATTTGTTTACTGTCTGGACTATCAGATTGAAATGTTCACACATATATTATGTATTATTATTGTTGCAGCTACCGCTGGTCCATACCCATCACATATACCACAAGCGCAGATGCCACGGTGCAGCGTGCCTGGTTTTATCACGATCAGAGCGAAAGTAAGTGCCAGCATCTATATTCCAGTCCATACCAAGCCATACTGATCGCTATCAAATCAATCTATATACAGTCACCATTACTCTGCCCAGTGCTGTGGATTGGATCAAGTTTAATCACGATCAGGTTGGCTATTATCGCGTCAACTACGAACAGTCCCTGTGGCAGGCACTGGCCAATCAGATGGTCGCCAAGCCGGACGCATTCAGCGCTGGTGATCGTGCCTCCCTGCTCAATGATGCCTTTGCCTTGGCCGATGCCACGCAGCTGCCCTATGAGATTGCCTTCGACATGACCAAGTATTTGGCCAAGGAGCTTGATTATGTGCCCTGGAGCGTGGCTGCCTCCAAGCTGACATCCCTGAAGCGCACTCTCTTCTACACCAGCAGCTATGTCAAGTACAAGAAATATGCCACAGCTCTGATAGAGCCCATTTACACGTCTCTCACCTGGGCGGTGGGCGAGGATCATTTGGATAAGTATGTGGAGATTTGTTAAAAGCTAAGCACACGGGGAATCCCACGGGGTTTTCCTTCTTCAAATTTTTAACAATTTATGACAGGCAACAGAAAGCTGCTTCTTTCGTGACCGTTGGGTGAATGGTGTCTGTTGTAGGGGGAGCTTGCCTAATAAAGGAGGAATAGTTGTAGCCGGACTAAGAGTCAGAGAAGATGTCCGCGCAGAAGAGGTGTCCGCCTAAACAAGTGTCCGTTAGTTTTCACTATCTTGGGCGAACAGCGACCAAGAGGAACGTCCGCCTAATAGCGGCAAGTGTTCTGACATGATCTATAATGGCTTAAGAGCTAATGTTCGCCTAAAAGGGGTACCCGCCTAACAAGAGTGTCTGTTATAAGATTTTTGCTGTGGCATATATCCATAAAGTATAATTGGCTGAGTCTAAATAAATTAATTGAAGACATTAATTTGAATTAAAGGTTATAGGGACTATATTTTTTCTTGATAGCTCTGCGAAGGGTCCAGAATTAATATAGTTTCGAACAACTTTTTTCTTTTAATTATAAATGTCGAAGCTTTCAAGAACTATATGTAAAATTGTATTCAAAGTAATCGATAGCTACTCAAATGTATCGGAAATCGATCAATATCGATCTTAAGACCTAGATATACTAATTTTGGGATATATACAGGCAAGAATTGAAAAATATCGTCACATTAGTTAAAAGCTGTGTACAGGGTATTTCGCAGTCGAGCACCCTCAACTATATTACTTTCAATTCGATGTTTTTATTCTTTTCTATTCCTGCCACCTCTTTATCTAACTCGGGCTCTCATTCCTCGTTTGTTTTCTCTTTTCAGCCGTCTGCGAGTGACCGCCTTGAGCGCCGCCTGCTCCTTGGGTCTCGAGTCCTGTCTGACTGAAGGCGGCCAGCAGTTCAAGAGCTGGCTGGCCACGCCCGACAAGCGTCCCAGCCCCGATGTGCGCGAGACGGTCTACTACTATGGCATGCAGTCGGCGGGCAATCAGGAGATTTGGGAAACCGTTTGGCAGCTCTTTATCAACGAGGCCGATGCCAGCGAGAAATCGAAGCTTATGTATGGCCTGGCCGCCATACAGGAGCCTTGGCTGCTGCAGCGTTACATTGATCTGGCCTGGAACGAGGAGTATGTGCGTGGTCAGGACTACTTCACCTGCCTAACCTATATCTCGGCCAATCCCATGGGTGAGCCGCTCGTGTGGGACTATGTGCGCGAGAACTGGCTGCTGCTGGTGGAACGCTTCGGTCTGAACGAACGCTATCTGGGCAATCTGATACCCTCGATAACGGCTCAGTTCCACACACAAACCAAGCTCGAGGAGATGGAGCAGTTCTTTGCCAAGTACCCAGAAGCTGGCGCGGGCACAGCAGCACGTATCCGTGCACTGGAGACGGTCAAAAATAATATTGTCTGGCTGGCCGAAAACCTCGAAAGTGTCGACGCCTGGCTGGACACGCAGGAGCAGCGATTGCACTAGGGCAGACAGCTGACCAAGGGAGCTAACGGAACACCGCAAAAATATCATAGTTTTGTGCTCATCGAATTGCCATAATAAATAAATACATGTTGCGTATACGTAAAATAAAGATTAGGCGTTTATTGAGAACAACAAGCAATGCTGCTCTAGTGTGGTGTGCTCGACTAAGGCATACCCTCAACTTTTTTCTATTAACACCAAGTGCCTTAGCTTTTCAATTTTTTTTTTTTACCCATTTATTGGGTAAAGGAACCTTGGACTTAATAAAATAAAATTAAAGATAAAGTTAGTTTTTTCCCTTGGGAAATTTTGGAGTCCACAACTAGACCTCACATTCATAACCAGAATTTGTTTGGCCACAAAATGAAAGTACATAACTCGTTGGTTATCAGGGCATAAAAAACATGTTTTTTTATGTTATCTATTTGACATGTCGTTGGTAGCGTATCTGTGTGTGTATCAAATCTATTGATAGAGACATTTACACGTTACCGATTATCCAAGCTGTCAGTGGGCGTGGCACTTGGACAGACACAAGCCAATATGCACAACACAAGCCCAATAGGCCCGCCCCCTTGGGTAGAGTGTAACAGTTCGATAAGTGTCGAAATAATTATATTGCTTGCGAATCAGTTTGTCATCGCTGAGCGATCTCTGCTGCTCCATTAACTATGTTAGCTATCAGGTGGGGCAGCAGCAAATGGACGGCAAATCGCTTTTAGTTCTAGTTGTACGCGCATTATCGGTGATGTTGGCCATAAAGTGACTCAAGTGCCCATTATTAAAAATGAGCTTCAAAAATATGGCTACAAGCGGTTGGCTCTATTATGAATATGGCTAAAGTGTCGCCAATTTCTTCAGTTAGCTGCCGTCGTTCGAACCACGAAGATGTTTCTGCACGGCAATTGTTTACGGGTGGCTCTGTTTTGGGCCGTTGCGGCCTTTGCGGCGGCCACAATTGTGGTCGCTGTGCAGCGCAACCAGCTGGAGGCGGATTTGCGTGATATGCGGGAAAAGATTGACATGTACGAGGCGCTTAATGGATCGGAGCTTGCAGTGGACCTCAATAATCGTCAGAAGCGTCAGACTCTAGAGGAGGTAAGTGTCCTTGTGTGTATATGTGTTAATGTTTGAAAGCGGGTCGGTTAGCTTATCAGCATACTCTGTCCAAGCAGATTGATTATCGTTTGCCAACGGCACTCGAGCCTCAGCATTATGACCTGTATCTGCATCCCGATTTGGAAGCGGGCACCTTTACGGGCCAAGAGAAAATCAAAATAAAAGTGCTGGAGGCGACCAACCAAATCGTTTTGCATTCACACAAATTGAACATAACCAGCGTTTATGTGGAGAATCGGGAGCTGGAGAGCCATGAGCTGGACGAGGTGCGCGAGTTTCTCATCATCAATATGCAGGAGCAGCTGCCCGTGGATGCGGTCATCACGCTGGGCATCGTATTCGAGGGTCAGTCGATCAACAAGCTAGTTGGGCTCTACAGCAGCAGCTATACAACGCCAGCTGGTCAGCACCGGTGAGTAGATCGCGGGCCTTTGGCATTCATTGTGTCGCAGCCTAAAAGCATGCCACACATTACACACACTCTCTCTTTTGTGCAGCGAGATTGCAACCACCAAATTTGAGCCCACCTATGCGAGACAGGCTTTCCCCTGTTTCGATGAACCCGCCATGAAGGCCACGTATGCCATCAGCGTGGTGCATCCCAGTTCCGGCTCCTACCATGCGCTCTCCAACATGGATCAAACGGTAGGTGAACGTGTGTGGATAGCATTGTTTTCTTTTTCATAGAGCCTGGGGCCCATCTTATTTAATGCAGGAGACTACAAATCTAGGCGAGAACACGATGGCCACCTTTCAGACCAGTGTGGCCATGAGCACCTATTTGGCCTGCATCATTGTCTCCGATTTTGACTCGGAATCGAGCACGGTGAATGCGAATGGCATTGGCAAGGATTTCTCGATGCGCGCCTTTGCCACGCCCCATCAGCTGAATAAAGTGAAATACGCGTTGGAGTTTGGCACAGCCGTCACCGAATATTACATACAGTACTTTAATGTCGAATATCCACTGCCCAAGCTGGACATGGCTGCCATACCGGACTTTGCCTCCAATGCCATGGAGCACTGGGGCCTGGTCACCTACAGGGAGACCGCGCTGCTCTACGATGAGGACTACAGTTCTACGCTAAATAAACAGTCCATAGCCAGTGTATTGGCTCATGAGATTACCCATCAATGGTTTGGCAATCTGGTCACCATGAAGTGGTGGAATGATTTGTGGCTAAACGAGGGTTTCGCACGCTTTATGCAGTACAAGGGCGTGCATGCAGTGCATCCAGATTGGGGAATGGTAAGCTCGAACTCGGGACTCACATCGAACAGTCCATCTCATTCGCATTCTCCTTTAGCTGGAACAATTCCAAATAATGGCACTGCATCCGGTGCTCGTCTTCGATGCCAAGCTCTCCTCGCATCCCATTGTACAGAAAGTGGAATCTCCGGATGAAATCACAGCCATATTCGATACCATTAGCTACGAGAAGGCCGGCTCCGTGCTGCGCATGCTGGAGTCCGTTGTCGGCGCCGACAAGTTCGAACTGGCAGTCACCAGCTATTTAACCAAATTCCAGTACGCCAACACTGTCACCGATGACTTCCTTACGGAGGTGGCCGCTCAGGTCAGCGATTTCAATGTGAAGCAATTCATGCGCACCTGGACGGAGCAGATGGGCTATCCGGTGCTCAACGTGCGGCGCGCAAGCGAAGCTGGCTTCATCATTAGCCAACAGCGTTTCCTCTCGAACAAGGCCAGCTATGAGGAGGCGGTGGAGTCCACTGAATTTGGCTATAAGTGGAGTGTGCCCATTACCTATTTCCTGGATACGTCAGAGAGCAACGAGGTGCACAGCTTCATACTCGAATATGATCAGGATGAGGCGGGCGTGGCTGTCAACACGGATGTTAAATGGCTTAAACTGAATTCCCATCAGCTGGGCTACTATCGCGTCAACTATGAGTCCAGCATTTGGCAGCAGCTTATCCAGCAGCTGGTGGAGCAGCCAACGCGTTTCGATATTGCGGATCGTGCACATCTGCTGGACGATGCTTTCGCCCTGGCCGATGCCAGCCAGCTATCGTACAGCGTGCCGCTGGAGATGACTGCCTACCTGGCGCAGGAGACGGACTTTGTGCCCTGGTATGTGGCCACCTCCAAGCTGCTGACGCTCAGAAGGAACCTCATGTTCACCGAGAGCTATGTCTCCTATTTGAGCTATGCGCGCACGCTGCTGACCAATGTCTACAAGGAGGTCGGCTGGACAGTCGACAAGGACAACCATCTGGGCAAGTGAGTGCGAATCATACTATATATATATATATGGCTGTAAGCTACTCTAATTCGCGCTCTTCCCTCAGCCGCCTGCGTGTATCTGTGCTGGGCGCAGCCTGTGCCTTGGGCGTGGAAGATTGCCTGCAGCAAGCGGAGGAGCTTTTCACCAAGTGGCTAAATGAGCCAACCGCCGCCAATCGCCCAGCGCCCGATCTGCGCGAGCTGGTCTACTACTATGGCATGCAGCAGACGAGCAGCGAGGCCAGCTGGGAGCAGCTGCTGGAGCTGTTCAAAGCCGAGTCTGATGCCAGCGAAAAATCGAAGCTAATGTACGGCCTGTCGGCTGTGCAGGATAGTCAGCTGCTCTATCGCTTCCTCGAGCTGGCCACAGATGAGAGCATTGTGCGTTCCCAGGACTATTTCACCTGTGTGCAGAACATTGCCGCCAATCCGGTGGGTCAGCCGATTGTCTGGGACTACTATCGCGAACAGTGGCCACAGCTCATCAATCGATTTGGCCTCAATGATCGCAATCTGGGCAAGCTGATAGCCAGCATAACGAGTCGATTTGCCAGCGAGATAAAGCTGGATGAAGTGCAGGAGTTCTACACCAAGTATCCAGACTCTGGAGCTGGCGCCAGTTCCAGGCAGCAGGCTGTCGAGACAATCAAATACAACATTAACTGGCTCAAGGAGAACTCCGATGACATTGCCAGCTGGCTGAGCGGCACGGCCGCCCCATTGACCTCTAAAAACCAATTGTAAAAATTTGACCACAAATTTCCCATATTCAATAAATTCCGTTCCGTGGAATATTTCCTCAATTACTTGCATTATAAGGCGAATGGCCAAGACATATAACAATAAAGTAGACCAAAATCAAGTTGTAAAAAATAAACTATGCATTTTATTTTACACATCCGAGTGGCGATTTTTATGGCCCTAAAAAAAAACCAGGCACAAGCACTTCGATAGCTACGATAAAAAATGCCTGTCATACTCGTAAACCCAACTCCGAATCAGACCGACCACGTCGGATATATGGATATATTGGACCACATAAACTTAAGAGCCCCCCATTATAACGATATCGCACTAGCCCCATATCTTTAACTATGGCCCAGCACCATTGGCCAGATATCAATAATCTGTTAATCGAGTCCAAATTGTTTTTCAAATGTGAGTTTTCCAGTTAGTTTAAGTCCAAACGCGCTGCACAGTGCAAGTGGTTTGGCAAGAGCGCGAATCCTAGAGCAAGGACTTTACATTAAATAAAAAAAATGGTTGCCTGTGAGTGTTACAATTGCTATAAAAATGGCATATACGGAATTTATAATCCATTTTCGATCAGGGCTAACGGTCAAGGTGGTGGCCATCTGCTTGGGCCTGACCACAACAGCCTTTTGTGTGGCCACAATTGTGTTGGCCGTGGAGAATGCTAATCTGGAGAATGATCTACAAGATGCCATGGATAAGCTGGAGGTGCTCATTTCTAGTACAACCACTGCCGGTCCCACCGTGGGCACCACTTCGGGAGTTACAACACCCAGCGGTGGCACCTCCCCGGGTACATCTCCGGGCGACTCAACACCAGGTGGCGGCACCACTCCAGGTGGCGTAACTACGCCCAGTGGCGGCACCACGCCCAGTGGCGGCACCACACCAGGCAACACTACGCCCAGTTCGACGTCGGCCAACCCGAATCCCATCTACCCCACCCTGCCCACCGGACTGCCCAATCCCGAAGAGGTATGTACTTTGTCTAATTTATAGACCCAGTCATTGTGCCGTAAAGGCGGCATTAGCACCAATTCACATATTATCATACTATATAGACCTTTAGGTTTTTTTTCTGGGGTCGATTATCGGCTTGGTTTTTTGCCGTGTTTTTTTTTATCTTGCCTAAAAAAACCCAACGCGTTGACCAGCGGTCAGTTTGGTTAGAGCTTTCGTACAAATTGGTAACTTAAAATGGGCAGATTTATGGCGAATCTAAAGGGTGAGGCGTGGTCAATACCGTGCAAATTCTGAGCTAAAGCATGCAGTTATATCCGTTAGATAATATCACAGCGGAGCGTGTGGCCATTTTCTTTGGCCTGCTGTCCACTTGCCTGGCCGTGGCCCTGGTCATTGTTGTGGTGCATAGGGACAATCTGATGCTGCAGCTGTCGGAGGCCCGAGAGAAACTCGATGTGCTGGAGGATTATATACAGACCAATGTGCTGTCCGATCCAACAGAACAGTTTGAGGCGCACTTGCGCAGCGAATTCTGAACTATTTAACAAACTGTTCCCAAACATGGTTTACTAATAAAGAAAACGGTTACAGGCCAATTACTTACGGGATATATGCGTCAGATATTATTGTGGCGGACACAGTCCAGTTAGTTAAGATAGCGACCAATAATAATGTTCTTTATCGCGTACCTTATCGTATTTTAACGACTTCATTGTTATCAATTATGTATATTCACCGAATCTTTACAACTGCAACTAGATTGTATATCGGCTGCCGACTGAGCTGAGGCCCATACGCTATCGACTCTATATGCATCCCGATCTGGAGACGGGAACCTGTGAGGGCACCGTCTCCATACAGTTCCAGCTGGACGCAGTGACCAACTTGATAGTGCTGCACGCCAAGGATCTGAATGTGCATGGCATTAGTATTCTGAATATGATGGCGCGCATGCGCATCGCCATCGACAAATATTACTTGGATGATACGCGAGAGCTTCTGATAATCGAGCTGAAGGAGGTGCTGAGCATGAACAAGGCCTATACGCTGTCCGCTAGCTTTGACTGCAATTTGGACAATCTATATGGTGCCTACAGAAGCAGCTATACGGATGCGGAGGGCAATAAGAGGTGAGTTTATTGAGGCGTTTAGTTCATAAGTTAGATAAAAAAAAAACCCACTACGCGCTTAAAATCATAACTAAACTACGTTGAGTAAAAGCTCGTGAGCGTATTTACTCCTCTGACTGGTTAGTGCTTAATGAACTGGTGCGTGTTCAATAAGCCGGTCTCAGCTACGCTGAGCAAAGCTTTCGGGAGAGCTTGCACGCGGCCGCTGCTTTGTCAGTCGACTTTTAGTTGTAATTTTAAAGCTGAGCGCGACGGTTGTCGTTTGTCAATGCGCATCGCTTCAACGAGCTCTGATCTCGTCTCTCGCCCTCTCGTCCTCTCGCGCGCTCGTGCGAATGTGAAACGTGCGCGGCATCGATTTGAATTAAGTAAAGCAACAGCTTAAGCCAAGTGCCGTTATTAAATAGAGCAGTTATTGGTTGGGCATTGTTAATAATTAAGAAACAAAATCTGCTGTCACACTGTCTAACTGTAAATCAAGTAGAGCTGCGCAAAGCGCAATGCCCACAAAAATTAGCCAACCAACTGTTAAGTGCGAATTATGAGCGTCTGTGTAATAGATATCCATATATACATCTTACATACATACGAATGTATGTGTGTATTCGTGCAAATAATGCGAATGAATACCGTTTAAGTGATTTTTATTTCTAAGTACCGAACAGTTGTTGTTGTTGTCATTGTCCAGGCGAGAGCAATGTGCCATTATATTACTAATTGAGCGCAGTGAGGCGAAAACTTATTTTAATACGTTTTCATAATAACAATAATAATAATATAACACAAATGCGGCCATTGAATTCTATGCCAACTTTGACTTTCAACAATAAACACAATAAATATAAACGCAAGCGGCAGCAGAAGTTTCACGCACGCAAAACAGGTTGCAACTGCGTTTGCGTCCCCTTGGCCGACCCCTCTACTCAGAGCTAGCCGGCAAACAGGCTTCTGCTCAGCCTCTCTCATAGTTCACTTGCCGCGCAAGTTCTTGGCCTTAAAATCGGCCAATACACGACGTCGACTTCGACGACGACAGCGACAGCGACTGCGACTGCGACTTCGCCTCGCTTCTGTCTTGTGTTTACATTTACAAGCTGCGGCCAGAAGCTGCTGCTCGTTTATCTAGAAAGAAGACAAAAAAATTACTTTCTTCAAAAGCTCAAACGAAATGGGTCGACATCGACTTTAATGTTGTTTCCGTTTCTTGTCGCAGTTGATTCTGGTTTTCTTACAAACATCTTTTTGTTGGGTTTTCATGTTTTCGTTATGTTTTGGTTCTGAGAAGTTCGGGCCACGCGCTTTATTCAAACCTTTTTCGTTTTCATTGGCACTGATTTCTTTTCTTTTCTTTTCCTTTCTCATTTCACTTTGACGCCTTTGGGCCAACTGTCAGACGATCTATTTAAATTTCTTTCACTTCTTTGGAGTTTGGCAAAAAATGAAGGTCAGCATTTTTTGATAAATGGCCATATTATACTTGATCAGGTGTCTGAGAGCACAGTTTTTGATTAATTTACATTTGTGAAAACTAATTCTTCAATCAAGAGTTCCTCACATTCATTTAGTATGCATGTGAAAGCAGTCAGAATATTTCAAGAAACACATTTTTCAATAGAGTGAAATGTAACTCATTTTAATAGTCAAAACAAACTTAAATTTTTTAGTTTGTGAACCAAGTATAAAGATCGATAAATGGTTCGGTTTTTGGATAAACAACAAAAAAATTAATTAGTAGAGATTGAGGGAGATTATGATTGTGAGAGCGAGAGATTAAAGATTTTACATGTATTTAGTAGATCAAGTGATGTCTTAATGAAGAACAGGCCCAATTGGGCTTTTATACCGACTTCGTGTACCTATATTGTCTACATTAGAATACTTTATACACAAAATCATTTCTTTTGTATAGCCTTTTTTATATTCTATTAATTATCGTACATAACAAAAGCATATAGCTTTAAGGCTTATGGGTATATCATACAGGTATGCATATATTAAACTAGTTTCGTTTATTTCAATAGTGTAATTATTACATTTTTATGTAACGTGTTAAAAAAACTGAATACTAATTAATTATTGTGCAAAACAGGCAAACAGTTGCAATCATTTCTTCGTTTTTATACCCTTGCAGAGGGTATTATAATTTTGTGTCGAACTGTGCAACGCATAGAAGGTGAAATCGCCGACCTCATAAGGTATATATATTCATGATCAATATCAACAGTACTCGGTTGTCTGTCCTAGTCTTAAAGCAATCGCCAGGAAACCTTGCGTCTCTCGGATCCGCCTGGATCGGATCAATATGTTATATATCTGCTAGAGGAACGATTGTATAAGATATCTTACCCTTACTCGGCATTAGCTATTGTCCCTGTGCTGTTAAATACGGACACAGCACTACGAAGAGGTTCGGTCTGCAAGGGTATTAGACCTTTGGCGTGATAAATATAGCTTTCTTTCTCGCTTTGTTTTGATTTTCCTATTTTTTCATTTTTAACTTTCGGGTGTGCGTTTGAAATACTTATCATCTATATGAGTCTGCGTGTATTTTCAATTGCAGTCACGTATTGGGGGCCCTCCATGCGTCACAGTGACCCAATCAGAGAGCTGGCAATGGGCCTGGGCTTGGGCCAGGGCTTGGGCCAGGGCAATTGTTATGTGGCCGCGACTCACTTTTTGGGCATTTGTGGGGCGCACTTTGCATTTAATTAATTATTTGTGAAAGTTGTTAAGTTAAAAAAAAAAAGTCACCGAACGTTACAAAAAATAACGAAAAATGATTTTTAATAACAATAACATTCTGCAAGTGCATTCAACTTTAGTTCGTGAATAAACGTATTTGACTTAATGCCACATTCATTAACAAAGCAGCATAACTGTTCTGCCATTTGACATTTTCCTCGAGCTTGATGAGTAACCAAGCTTAGATCTACACTCAGCAAAACCAAATGAAGAAAAGGGGACTATTTGAAATTTAAAGAGAATCCTGAAGATAAATTTGAATATTAAATTTTGAATATTCTTAAATTAAGTACAGAATTTGTAAGAAGCACAAAATACTTATAATCAAAACATTGTATTGTATTCAGGTATTTCTGCTTGTCAAAGTGCTTCTTGCAGTTGCTTGGCTAGATTTGACTATTAGGTTCTTAGGGTTTTTCTCTGAGTGTACAAGATGCAGATACAATGGGGCGTATATAATTATGCAGTCGCAGATACTTTGCAGCTGCCACATCAAGTGTTTGGCTTATAAGGTAGTCATGCAATTTTTATGCCGCATTTGTTATTTATGCTCTTTTTTTATTGTTGTTTTTCCGTTTTTCGTTGTTGTAGTTGTTGTTGCTGTTGTTGTAGTGGCTTTTGTCTGCAGCCTAATTGAGTCAACGCCAATGCATTGCATCATCGTAGGCTTCAGAGTCAGAGAGACGACACAATGATGAGCTGGATCAGAGCTGGCATGCGCTTGCCTCTGCCCCAGACAAATTGTGCAGCTCACTCGATATTAGCATATTCATAATATTCAACACTTTAGATTCGCATTCGCACAACTTGCCGAAATTAACGCATACGCTCATATTGTGCATAGCCGCATTTGAATCTTAATCACTTTGTTGCGACCAGAGCTACTCAAGTGTGTACACAAATGAGTATGAGTACACAATACGACTTCAAAATCACAATTGTGTGGGCTGTATTATGAGAACTCAAAGTTAAGACACTTTTTTATTGGCTTGCATAAAGAGGGAATTAACCACTGTTGTGTAACAAAAGCTGTTTCAAAAAGAAGGAATACTCTCGAATGTTGTTTAACAAAAAAGAGCTTTTTCTATAATAAGAGAAAGCGTTTTCAAATTCAAGAAATTAACTTAAAATGCTAACAATTTTAAAAAGCTTCCACATAAAGCTTTAAAAGCACCTTAAAGCTTTTAATGTGCTTAATTGTGTTTTCATGTTGCCAAGGGCTGGACTTAATGCCTATTGGTTGGCAGCTAGTGAACAAGTTAATCACTTTTATTTTGCTCGATTAATCTTTCGATTTTTAATAATCTCATTGTGACCATAAACTTTATAAACTAATTGGTTTGTTGCTCATGTATGTGAGATGACATGAATAAAGCATCTTTGACTACCGCATCTGCATTTTATGGCTAATTCAATAAAATTACAATGCAAATTTGGTGCGAATAATATTTCCCATGACATAAGCCCAAATAGAGAGAGAGAGAGAGAGAGAGAAAGAGAGAGAGACATACAGAAAGAGAGAGAGAGAGGGAACTGCCTTGCAAATCATCTGAAAAAAAGCCAACAACCTTTCCAACCATCAGTCAATCACACAGACGACGACGCCGACGCCCATATAGAAAGTGGTCTGTGGTCGTATTACTGCAATTGCAATAAACCTGGAAATTTGTAATACAACATTGCGGCTTGCCAGCAACAATACAACAACATCAACAACAACAACTAAAAAAAAGAAGTAAGACTTGGCTTTAAGTCGCTACAATTACACAGAAAAGGCGAAATGACCAACTCCATTACGTGACAGCGTAGAGATTACATTTGATTGATCCTGCAATGGAGACAACATCGCATCAACTCTTAATGAAATCAAGTCAAATGTGACGGAAACGATATACAAGATGCAAAAGCAAAGCAAACAAATGTTATGTCTCTGTTTATAGGGAATAGCTGTCGAAAATGTGATAATAGCAACGTCTGTAATTTGCTCTGTTTACGATAAGCTCAAATTACGTGAGACGACGACACACTACTCAATCGCAGCTTAAGTTAGTTTTTAGCTACATTTCGAGACTTGAAATGTGGTTAATAATTAAATAAAAATAAATACATTATTGCTTAGGACAGTTTCAAAAATATATTAATAAAATCTTTACATTGAAGTAGTTGTAATATCTTCCAATAATTGCTAATTTATTATTATTACGCTTTTAGTAGACTAGGAGATACTGTGTAAATAGGTTTTATAAGAAGCGCGCAGTACATCGATAATTATCGATGTCGCAATATATGTGATTGTTATCGCAAATTTAAAAGAAATTTTTCTAATCTCTTCCGGGCAGTAAACCTTACTTTGAAGTTTAATGTGACTGCTCTATTACTCTAGGAGATACTCTGTAACTAGATCGATATCACAAAATGTGGGTTTTTTATCGAAAGTTCGGTAGAAATTTGATTTCACTGTAAATTTGGAGCATCGAGTTCGTTCTTTGTCGGCTTAGAATTTAAATTATTGTGCTTAAGTGCGACTGTTTTCAAAAATATCTGTTCATTAAACTAATAAGCTCAATTAGAAAATCAAATCCATGTGAAACTGGTCGCACTCAAGCTACTGTTAAATGTTTGTTAACCGTTTTATAGCTCGCCAAGTCATTTTAAATGCATCAGTACGAGTGTAAATAGCGCCTAGTTAGTCAAAAGCTAAATACATAAGCATCGAAAAACCAAATACTATATAAAAACAAAAACAAAAACGAAAAAAAGTCAACGGCATGTACGCGACGAAAAACGTGCGTCCACGCAGCAGCCTCTCCACAGACGACAATCATCGCATCAAGGACACAAATCGTACACACAAGAAATCGCCGAGCAACACGGTGCTCACCCTGGTCGCGTTCTGTGTGTTTCTTTTGGTGCTCTGCAGTTTTCTGCTCGGCGCTTTGGTTTATGTTGGCAAAAATATAGCCGACGAGCATCAGAAGCAGCAGGCGAGCGGTAGTACGCTGAGCGTAATAAACGACACAATACGCACCATATATGTGGATCGTGATCAGTTATTGTCCACGAAACCAATTTTGAGCGTGCTCTCAGGTTTGTGCTAAATTCGAAAACAAATTTCTAATATATTAAAAATTGTTCAATGCAAATTCAAATGCTGAGCAAATGCGCGCCAACCAACCGCTGCACTCATAGCAAACAGCTTTTTGTTGCCTGCATGCGTTTTGCTCAGCATACCATGCTGATATCGTTATCGTTATCGATAACGCAACAGCTGTTTGTATATGTTGAAGAAATACAAATTTGAACTAATTCATGAATTACTGATAAAAAAAAAAAAACCATAAAAAATAAACAGATAATCGCGCACACACCACCCAAGTGCCCACCACGAAAAAGTCAAACGCCATGGCCGCCATATCGCCTGAAGTACGTGCTGCCAGCCGGGTCCTGCAGAAACTTGGCTTCCGTTTGCCCAAAGCGATAAAAGCACGAAAATATAATCTGCACCTGAAGCCCGATTTTAGCTCGAAGAACTATACGGGCAACATAAGCATCAATCTGCAGGTGCTGGACCCTATCGCATTTATACCCGTGCACGTCAAACAGCTGAATGTGAGCCACGAGCAACTGCAGCGTTTGGATGATTCGGGTGCTCCGCTGACGGAAATCAAACCAACGCTCACCTTTGCCTATCCCGAATACGAGTACTTTGTCAGCGAATTCGCCCAGCCACTGGAAGTGGGCAACTATACGTTGCATCTGAAATTTAATGGCTCATTGGCCGATCGCATAACGGGGCTGTACCAAAGTTCATACTACAATAAGCTGAAAAGCCGTACAAGGTAGACGCAGCTGTGACCTTCTTAAGCTAACAAATGCATGCACCTAAATTAACCCAACACCCCTATGAATTAACTTAAACGTTATTTTGCTTATACTAATTGTTTAATTTTTTCACAGATGGATTGC